TCCTCCCAGGCTGAGGCTCCTCCCAGGACTAAGGCTCCTCCCAGGCTGAGGCTCCTCCCAGGATTGAGGCTCAGCTCAGCCTGCCGGAGCACTGGGAGCCATGTCCCGTCTGTCCGCTAGGTGTCACGCTTGGCCGTGCGGTGTGCTGGCGCCCCGGGGGCAGGAACCGCGTCGGGCGCCCGCAGGGGCGCACCCGCTGGGCTTGGTTACTGCTGGCCTGGAGCTGGAGCTCTGACGGGCCCCGCCTCCAGGGGCACACGGGCCCTACGCTGTCAGCAAGCTCTTCCTGTGGGGCAGGCCGTCTGCTCACCGAAGCCCCGTGGGCTACCTGCGCCGTCCTCGTGAAGTGAGCCGTTCAGACTGGAGCCCAGTCGGGTGCGCCTTGTCAGGTGGACATGGGAGGGGGAGCCCCCGGTTCCCTCTGTTAATCCAGTCGGGACCAGGCGTGAAAACTGGGTGCTGTGGGCCCACTGAGCACTGGCGTCCACTGGCGCCCGCCAGGTGCCCAGGCCGTGAACCGGGCCCACGCTCCGAGTTTGCCAACCTGCAGGCCTGTCCTCGCAGCCCGCAGAGGAGAGACAAGGACAGAGGCAGGTGCACTGGGGCAGCCCTGGGCGGGCAGAGGAGGCCGGGGGGCAGGACCCCGTGAGCTGCTGGCCAGCAGGTGCGTCGTCTGTGTCTGGGCACAGCAGGCGAGAGAGCCCCAGCCCGCAGAGCATCCGACGTGCACCCGGGGAGTGTCTGGAGCCAGAGCCTCCCCCGGGGCTGCAGACCCTCACATCCCTGCTCTGCCTCCCGCGGGCTGCGTGACCGTGGGGGCTCATCAGCTGCTCCGGCCCCGCGACCTCCTCTGCGGGCAGGGGCCGGTGGCATCTACACCACAGGCCCTGCGATGGGTCCACACCCTCGCAGCCCTGGAGCCACGGGAGCCTCTGGGAGGAGCCGGGGGAGGGCAGAAGCCTCTGCAAGCACCTGCCAGGCCCGGTCACCCGCGAACCTCCCAAAGCCCACGAGGGGGTAGACGTTCCACGTGGACCTGGTGTGGGCTGCAAAAGGTGCACTGTCCTTGTGAATCTGGACATGGTGGTCATCTCCATGCAGGGGGCCAGGCCTCGGCAGGGAAAGCGTTTCCTCTTTTGTATTGCTTTAAAGAAAAGGTTTTAAACCAAGTCTAGGTACTGCATTTTCAAGAGGACGTCATCAAGGCAGCCTAGGGGCCGTGAAGAGGGCGGACAGCTCACACTGTGCCCCCTCTGGGGCCAGGTCCAAGCCACGGCTGCAAAGCCCGTCTGCACGCTGGCTGGGGTGTGCGTTTGGCCTGCCCTCTAAAAGGTCAGACCAGCCCGACAACTTAGGGGCAACCTAGGGCGGCTGGGATGACCCTTCCACGTGAAGGTGCCCCCCTGAAGCCAGGCCCCGAGGAGCTCCCAGCCGTCAGCCCAGGGAGTAGCCATCTGGGCGTTGGGCCCAGTGACACTTTCCGATGATGGGTTATCTCGTTTTCACGTTTGCTCCCGCCTGGAATCTACGGCAGAGGGCACCAAGAACAGTGCCTGGCACACAGTAGGTGCTTAATAAGCGCTTGCGGCAAGAACTCCCTGCTCCTGTTCTGACCGTGAACCTTGGGTGACCCTTAGCAGCCCGCTCCTGTCCCGTCCCAGCCTGCAGCCCATTCCAGGAATGCCCTCTCGGCCTGTAGGGTGGGCAGGTGACCTCAGGGAGGGGAGGAACACTACGGGCCAGGAGCAGGCAGCCCGCCCACATGTCCCGGAGGCCATGACCCTCGACCGCTGGCTGACACCAGGTCAGATAACATCCAGGGTCATCTAGTCACGTAAGCTGGTGAAGCTGGATGCCTGCCAGCAGGTGGCGGAGGTTCCCGGCCGAATTGCTTCGCCCCTGGGGGTTTGCAGGGCACGTCGCTGTGCTAGGTGTGTGCAGGGCTGTGGCTGCATCCAGGCCAGCACTGGGGACCGGACATGGGGAGGAGACACGGGAGGCAGGAGAGGAGCACAGACAGACGTCCCACTGGCCTGCCCCTTCCCTTCCCCCTCCCAGCCCGCCTCCCCTCCCTCTCATCACCAAGGGGCCATAGTGGAGGGGTGCCACTTGGTCTGGCTCTGAGTATATTTTGCAAATAGACCCGACAGGACTTTCTGACGATGAGACACAGAAGGTGAGACAAGACAGAATCAAGGATGACCCAACCCACACCTTGGGGAGCCATTTCCTGAGATGGGGAGGGTGGGGAGCAAGGGGTTCTGAGGGATGTGCAGGAGCTCGGTCTGGGGTGTGTTAAGACCGCGAGCGCTGAGCTCGTGTTTGCAAGAGCAGCGGGGACGCTGATGTAAAGTGGAAACACAGAGCTGCCTCACAACCGCCTCAGTGGAAGGGGCCACACCAGGGAGGGCCCGGAACGGGTGACGGAAGCGCCTGGCCTGCTGACCACCATCCTTCAGGACCCACTCTCTTCAATGGCACAGCAAAATTAACAGAATAGAATCCTTGCCTTGCATTTCGCGAACAACATGAAAGGAACGCATTCCCTCCATATTTTAAAAACCCATTCCCAGGGGCTCCTGCGTGGCTCAGTCAACTGAGTCTTTTTTGTTTGTTTGTTTATTTATTTTGAGAGAAAGAGAGAGAGCACACAAGCAGGGGAGAGGCAGACAGAAAGGGAGAGAGAGAATCCTAAGCAGGCTCCACACTCAGCAGAGCTGAGCTCGAATGGGGCTCGATCTCATGAACCACGAGATCATAACCTGAGCGGAAATCAAGAGTCTGTTCCTCAGCCGAGTCACCCAGGAGTCCAGAGCCTCTGACTCTTGGTTTCAGCTGAGGTCATGATCCCAGGGTTGTGGGGTTGAGCCCCGCGTCGTCTCCGAGGCGAACGTGGTGCCTCCTTGTGATTTTCTGCCTCTCCCCTGCTTGCACACGCTCTCTCTGAAATTAAAAAAACAAACAAACAAACAAAAAAAAACAAACTTGTAAATTTAAAAAGTAGTAAAAGTTTAAAACTGAGCTCGAGTTCCAAGTAGAATGGATATACATTTAAAAAGACCTAAGACTTTCTTTTCACCCCCCAACACCCTACCTACCGCAGTGCCAGCGACCCTCGTGCCCGCACTGCATGGTCCGCGCTCGCAGGACCACCAGGGAGGAGAAAGCCGCAGCCGGCGCTAGCCGAGCCTGCGCGCGCGCGCGTGGGGGGAGGAGTCATTGTCCCCACGGTCCCCTGGGAGCCAGCACTTCACCACGCGCGGCCCCAACCGGCTCGCCTAATCTGTGCAGTCTCGCTGGGCTGGGACAAGTGCCTTGTGGGGCAGAGACTACAGAGCCCAACATCAAAGCGCCGGCAGGGCTCGCTCCTTCTGGAGCTCTGATGGAAGCTCGGTCCCCTCCCGACCCTCCCAGACCTCCCAGCCCCTTTCGGCCCCTCCCAGGCAACCCCCCTGGCTTCCAGCCCGTCTCCACCTTCCCACCTGCTTCCAGCCCCTCCCAGCATTCCCCGCCCCGCTTCCAGCCCCTCCCCCCCGTTCCCAGCTCCTCCCCATCGCTCCCAGCCCCTCCCAGCATCCCCCCCCTCGCTTCCAGCCGGTTCCCACCCTCCCACCCGCTCCCAGCCCCTCACCCCCTCTCACCTGCTCCCAGCCTCTCTCAGCCCCTGTTGTGGCCCATCCTTGGTGTCCCTCCCCTCTCTGCCTCCATTGCCATGTGGCCCCGCTCCCCGTGTGTCCTGTCTGTGGGTCTTTTCTTGCAAGGACCCAGTCATTGAATCAGGGCCCATTCCATCTTAACTAATTGCATCTGCAAAGACCTATTTCCAACTAAAACCATCTTCTGAGGTTCCAGGTGACATGAATTTGGGGGTATGCTGTTCAGCCCACTGCAGCACCCCTGAAATGGAGAGTCCAGCCGGGTCCCACAGGAAGCGTGCGGTCAGCCGGGCCTGAGCAGGTGTCCTAGAAGAGAAGGAAGGAGAGAAGGCAACAATTGGGGCAGTCCTGGAATACTGCCTGTAGGAGGCAAGGCTGCATCTGGCCTTCCCGGAGAAAGGGCAGTGCGGGTAGAGACAGGAGAGGACCCCTCACAGCAGGGACACCCCGGGGAGAGTGGAAGCCCTGAGATAGGAAGTGGGCCAGGCTGCGGGCACGGCGAGGAAGGTGGGGGTCCAGGACACCCTCCGGGAGCAGCAGGTCAGTGTCCGTACACAAGCAGAGTCCGGCCCAAGAGGTCGGGCCACAGTGACGGGAGGCCGGCCCCCCTCCACGGTCCCCATCCTGCTTGCTGACCCCACAGGCAGGAAGAGACGTGGTCTGTGACCCCCGAGCCAGGAGAGGGACAGTCCTTGGCGGCAGGTGAGGGGCCGTCTAGGCTCCTGACCTTCCCTGCAGCCACCCTCCTGCTCGCTCTGCCCCTGAGCCCCTCGAGCTGCCCCCACTGCCCCCCACTGCCCCATGGGGCATACACGCCACCCGGTGTCACCGCCTCCTGCTCTCTGCCTGGGTTCTGGCCCCTTCCCAATCCTGCGGTCCCCACGCCCTCCCCACTGCCCTGGGAGGACTCCCCACAGTCCTGCACCAAGAGGCCCAGATGGTCCGAGGGTCTGCCTCTCTCAGCTCCTGTCCACCTCGGATTCCCGTCAGTACACCTGAGCCTCACTGGCCATGGCCTCGGGCAGTGACTCCCTCCCAGGGCCCTGCCCGACCTCGACCTCGGGGAGCGGGCGGCGACCTCTGGTTGACCTCGTCCTGGGTCCTAAAGCCCCATCAGTCGCGGAGGAGCACAGGCGGCCGGGGCACCCCCATCCTGAAATGGAGGCAGGGGACAAGAGCCAGAGCCGGAGAGCGGGAAGGAGAGAGACGGCGCGAGGGCTAAGCCGGCCTCCTCGGCCCTCGTGCTGCCCTCCCTCGAGGGCCATCAGGGAAAGGAGAGGCCTCCCCGGTGCCACGCGTGTGAGCGCGTGAGCGCTGCGCCGTGACCCCCGCCTTCTCGCCCCCTAACTGGAACAGAAGCGCCGCCGAGCGCGCGCCGGCAGCACAGCCACCGCCCGTCCCAGCTGACGGGGCTGCACGGCGGTCACAATGAGCGTCCGGAGAACCCGCTGGCAGAGCGGCCTTCCCGCGAGACTTCTGCATCTCGTACCCGCCAACTGTGTGCCGCCCACGTTTCGCAGCAGCGGACGCGGACGTGGGAGCAGCGTGCAGACTGAGGTGAGGTGGCCGCAGGGGTCTGCGCTCCCCTGACGGGGGTCGTGAGGCTGGTGGCGCTCTCTCCCCGCCCCTCCCTCACCTGACTGCTCCGTGGGAAACCTCTGTCCCTTCCTTCATTTACTGGAGGAGGCAGGGACTATTATGGGGCATGTCACCGCCGTGGCAACCGCGTGGTCTGAAGCGCTGGGAGAGGACAGACGGGAAGCGACGGGGACAGTACATCGATGGGTCTTGACGTGGCTGCACAGAGCCGGCCGCTGGGACGACTCGGGCTGGGGGGTGGGGGGACGGTTAATGCAACCCCACCGGAAGCTGACCCCAGGCGGAAAGCTGAGGAGGTCGCGCGACACGTGGGCCTCCGCCCGGCCAGGAACAAGCAAGCCTCCTTCCGGGGACTCTGTGCCGCCCCGCCCCTCCCAGGCCCCGCCCTTCCCAGGCCCCGCCCCACACGGGGGCGCCGTGCCGCCCCGCCCCTCCCAGGCCCCGCCCCGCACGGGAACGCCGCCCCGCCGCCCCATTGGCACACTGCGCGTCTCTGGTGGGGCAGTGTCCACCGAGCCCCCAGTGTCCCAGCAGCTCCCCGCCGCGTGAAACATCAGGAATAAAACCCACACGTGTTATAAAATCACTAAGGACTCTTCAGTACAAGAAGGTCCGTCCCCTGTCCCGTTCTGGGGACACATCGTTACCCTCCTGCACCGGGACGATGGTCTTTCCCAGTGACGGGAGTAGCAGCTGACACCTCCTGAGTCTGGCCCGTGTGCCCGGGGTTAAGTGTGCAGGCGGAGAGGCCGACGAGGGGGTCCCGTCGTCCTCTCCACTTCGCAGAAGAGGAACAGCCCCCGAAAATTAAATCACTTTGTGAAGTCGCAGTTAGTGGGGGCAGAGGGCCGCCCGGTCTCCGGCTGCCGCGGTCCGCGCGTGGACGCCCCTGGCCGGGGGTCCGGACCCGCCTGTGGCCCCGAGCTCGCTAGCTGTGCCCAACTCCGGGCGGCCTCTGTGAACCACCGAGCTTTTTGGAACAGCGCCCAGGAGAGAGTGGGCCTGCCCGGCTCCCCTCCTGGTCGGCTTGCCCCCAGCCTCTGGCTGGTTCTCTGCCGAGGGTCCCAAACAAAGCAAGAGGCAGCCCCTCTTGGCCTCCCTACCATGGCCTCCCCACGTGGCCCCTCCACGTGGTCCCCCACCTGCCTCACCACGGTCTGGGCAGCTGAACTTCTTACATGCCAATTCAGGGCTCCCAAGAGGGTAGGCATGGAAGCTGCCAGACCTTCTGAGCTGCCACAGTGTCACTCCCGCACCTTCCTTTGTTTAGGGGACTGTGTCCTGAGAGGCTGAACGTGCCAGGACCCAGGGCCCCAGACTGACCTCGAACCCTCCCCACTGTCCCTCCCCTAGACTCACAGGTTTTCCCTACATGCCTGGGACGCGGCGGTAACACGACCGACCGGGCTTCCGGAGGGCTGGGTTCTGTTTGGCGAGCTTTCCAGACACGGGTCCTCGCCAGGAAGCTCCTTCTAGCTCAGCTTTCCTGTAAACAGACACGAGGGAGGAAATCAACGGGCTCAGGGAGGTGAGTGCAACCACATCTCCTAAGGGGTCCCTCAGCACCCTCGACTCTGGCCAGATCCTAAGTGGGAGACTGGCGAGACCTCTCAGGAGCCTGGGTGGGCGGGCGGTGGGGTGCTGCAGACGGCCGCCCTGGGGTCTTCCCGGAGCGGCTCTATCGGGGGCTAACTCAGAGGTGATCACTCGGGAGCGCTCCAGCTCCGTGCACAGTCTGGTGGGCGCACGTGAAGGACCCGCCCCGAACGTCCTGCCCGCCCAGCCCCACTCGCACCCAGACACTGGTGCACACGTACGTGCACACACATGCACCCACACTGGCACGTGCACAGAGTAGCACGCTGTGAAGCAGTAAGTCATGCAGGTGCTGAAGCAGGAGTTACACGGGGGACCCCGGGCAGCCCCCCCGCCACACAAATCCCCCCTGCCTGCTGCCCAAGGGCCCCTCCTGTCAGCCCCAGCCAGAGCCCCAGGCCCGACTTTGGTTGCTGCCGCTTGGATCGTGGGCTCCAGACAGGGGAGGGCGGCCGCCAGCTCTGAGGCGCGACCCAGTCAGCAGAGCAGGGCCAGGGTGCGTCCCCTCCCGTCATGGCTGGCCCAGAGGGCAGAGGTGGCTCTAAATGGGGACACTGGAGCTGTTAGCAGAAGACAGGACAGATACGGCCGGGTAAATGCAAGGGCTGTCCACGGGCCACAGCACGAGACAGGACGGCATGGTGCCCCCAGGAGCTAACGAGACTCCAAACTGCCTCTGGGTGAGCACCGCTCGGCTTTGACGCTCGCTGTGTGACCCGGGGCAAGTTACTCACCCTCTCTGTGCCCGTTTCCCATAGGTAAAATGGGGGCAATGACATACGTACATCTCGGGGACGTGTGGCTGTGCCTCTGTGTCATTAGCACTACAGCAGAAGCTTCCTCTGACCAAGGACAAAAATCCACGTGGCAGATCCGGGGGGCCGAGGCCTCAGACGCTGCTGACCCCCAGAAGACCCCGGAGAGACCTCCTCCTGACTGGGGCGGCTGGAGAGGTGGCAGTGGCCTGGGGTGGGCAGCCCCCAGGAGCATCCTCCAGGCCTCAGGCCTGCTGGTCCCAGCTCGGTGTCCCCTTTACACCTAATTAGATTTCCTTGTAAAGAGATAAAGGCTGTTACTTTGTATCAGCACATCTTCCTCTGCAGGACCGAGTTCCTGAGAGAGGAGAGACAGGCAGGGAGATGAGGGGAAGAGCCGGCATGGGTAGACTCCGGAATAAGACCCTGACAGGCTCAAATTGATTCTGCAGCCCGGTAAAATTGAGTGCAGAGGGAATTGGATTTGTGCCCTGTTGAATGTAACTGCCTCTTGCTGTCTATACCAGAAGCTGTTAAAATGGTTATCTTTAGAGGTGTGTGGAAATTGTGTGCGAACAGACCGGTGAACCATCCTGGGGCGCAGGCTTCCTCCGCGCACGCAAAACGGCATCGTTGTTCCTAGTAACATCATAAACACCTTGCGCTTGTAATGTAAGCAGAATCAAGGCTCCCGGCAACGTCTCCAAGCGTGGGGTCACTGGGGCTTCTGGGGGCTCCGGAAGCAGGCCCTTGGGCTGCCGGTCCCGGGCGGCTGGTGGGCTGCGGGGTCTCACCTCCCCCCCAGCCTGGGGCAGGGAGTCGGGGGCGGGGGGGGGGGCGGTGGGGGGAGTGCTTCACGTCTCCGCATTCATCAGCCTGGACCCGGGACAGGCTCAAAAGAGGACTTGCTTCTCCCTCGGGACAGAGCCCAGGGGACTCTCGCAACCTGGAACCCTCGCTCCTGCCTCTCCCCGCCCCACCCTGCCCCGTCTTGCCCTGTCCTGTCAAACCTCCTCCCCCGGGTCCCACCCCGATCCCCTGTGCCCATCCCCCAGGCCCCATCTGCCTCTCGTTGTGTCTGACGGATGTAGGAGTAAGGAGTTCTGAGCCTTCCCGAGAAACAGCCCTGTGCCCACTGTCTCCAAAGCAGTCTCGAGAGGCCGACCCCACTCACGCTTGGGAAGCGCCCCAGTCCCGCTGGGCTGGGCTGTGCCTCAAGCCACCGCCACCATGATCCCACATGTCAAAGGTGCACCCTCACTCCCTGTGTGTCCAGGGTGGGGCAGCAGAGTTCACGGGGCGGGGGGGGGGGGGGCACTGGGAACCCCGGCAGACATACCTCTCAGCCACCAGCACAGGAAACCCCGCGAAATGGCCTTTAAAGGTCACTGGCCAAAGCGGGTCTGGAACAGGAGGCCAGGTTCTCTGTGCACGGCTGGGAAGGCTCACAGGTGTGCCTTCCGGATCACTTAATTCTGCTCACCGTCCCTCCTGTCTCCCCGGCGGGTCGGCCCCGTATTTCAGCCCTACCGAGCCGGGGCCTCTGGGGGACGCCTGCTCGGGAGGCCCCTTTCCGGGCCTACGAGGGACCCCTCTCATCTGAGATGGATTCCTCCGCCCGCTCCGTGTCACCCGCAACGTGCTGCTGGCGCCTCCAGCGTCCCAGAATGCACGTGGGCCAGCCGCGGTGTCCAGGGGGCCATCCACGCCCTGTCGGATCTGGCCAGACTCGGGGAATCTGGAAATCTGCCAGCGTCCCGGCGTCGGGCGGGACAACGTTTGGAGCCTCGTCCCCTCTCGCTCTCGCTCCACACTGGCAGTTCCCGTCTGGTCTGGCTCCTCCTCGCATCTTGGCCAACGCAGGCGACGGCCGCGGGCACCTTCCTCCCCGCTTTTCCCAAGGGCTGCCGTCGTGCCGGGCCTGCGGCCTGGCTTCCTCCCTGCACGTGGGCCCCCGCCACGCGGTTCTCGCGGCGGGCAGGGCGGCCTGCGCCCCGCGGCACCGAGTGACCCCCACACATAGGTGACCTGGCACGGCAGGGGCTGCTTCTCACTCTAGCACGGCGGGCCCTGGGGGGCTCGTGCGCTCAGGGGCCAGGCAGGCAGCCGCTCCTGTCAGCACATCGTGATTTTCTGCGGAGAAGATAGGGAGGGAGGGCTGGGATGCTTGTTGCAAAGGGCTCCCGTCCGCACAGGACAGCGCGAGGGACGCAGAAGACCCGCCGGGAGGCGGCCGCCTCGGCCCCGCGGTCACAGGCTGCAAGGGCTCCGACCACCCAGTTGGTGTGGGTGTCCAGGTGCCACTGGGTCCGGCCCCCTCCTTCCTTTCGGTTTCTCCCCGGGGCGTCATGGGAACAGAAACACGCAGGGTAGGCCTGTGGATTAAGTTTCCTCCAATATGCTCAGAATTTCGTCTGCATCCCGTAGGACACGGAGACTGAACCCAATAAGTACGTGTGCGGGTGCCTTGGGTGGCTCAGTTGGTTGAGCGTCCTACTCTTGATTTAGGCTCAGGTCGTGTCTCAGGGTCGTGGGTTTGAGCCCTGCGTCAGGCTCTGTGCTGACAGCAGAGATTTTCTCTCTCTCTCTCTCTCCTTCTCCCTCTCTCTCTCTCTTTCTCTCAAGATAAAAAATAAATGCATGTGGAACACCTGATGTCAGCTGAGCCCCAGAAGTTGGTTTCTGCTGGGCTGACTGGATTCAGCCTCTGTCTCCCTGTTCATTCAACAGACATTTACTGAGCGTCTGCTGACCCTGGTCGGGTGCAGCCGCGGGGGGACTGGGCACGCACGGAGAACCGCCTGCCATTCCGGCACAGGGCAGGGAGGCAGAAGGCAGTGCGGGTGCCGACGGATGCCATGGGGACCAATACGCAGGGGAAGGAAGACGGTGATGGCCCGGAGGGGGAGAGGGAGCCAGCTACTCGCACATCTCGGGGAAAAGCATCCCAGGCAGAGGGAACACCCAGTGCCAAGGCCCTGAGACGGAAGCACTTGGAAGGTCGAAAAACCAGAAGGCATGGCGCGGCTGGAGGGGAAGGGGCACCGGGGGGCAAGCAAGCCAGGGACGGCGGCAAGGAGGACTCTGCTGGGGTCTGAACGGGCACTGGGCTGTGTGAGAAGTGAGTAGTCGTGTCTGGAAGCTGCCCATTGCCGTGTAGCAAGTGACCTCGGACCAGCAGCTCCCATGCCTGTATCTGTTGGGACTACCGGGTCCTCTGGCTCAGGGTCCCTCACGGGCCGCAGCTGGCGTCGGCGGGGCCGAGGCCCGTCTGAAGACTCCCCGGGGGAGGGACCCCCATGCGAGCTTACGCACAGGCCTCGAAGCAGGATTCAGCCGGACCCCATCCTCGGTCCCCTGTCTGAGGGCCTCTCCCGGAGGCCTCTGTCAAGGCGGCGGCTGCTGGCTCCATCAGACGGAGGAGGCAGAGCAGGAGGGACAGACAGACAGAAGCCAGAGTCTTCATACCCTTAAGGGACTCCCATCGCGTTTGCCTTCCGGTCATCGGAGGCGAGTCCCAGCCCCACTCAGGGACCAGCACCAGCCAGGCCCAGGCAGCAGGAGCCTGGGGGCCGGTGGGTGTCCTGGGAAGAGGCTGGATTTGCACACTTTTTTTTTTTTAATATTTATTCATTTTTAGAGAGAGAGAGAGAGAGAGGGTGTGAGCGGGGGAGCAGCAGAGAGAGGGAGACACAGAATCCGAAGCAGCTCCAGGCTCCGAGGTGTGGGCGCAGAGCCAAACGCGGGGCTGGGACTCACGGACCGTGAGATCACGACCTGAGCTGAAGTCAGAAGCTCAACCGGCTAAGCCACGCAGGCGCCCCTGCCCCCCTTTTTTCTTCTTAATGTTTATTTATTTTTGACAGAGACGGAGAGAGAATCCCAGGCAGACTGTGCTGACAGTGCAGGGCCTGGTGCGGGGCTCAAACCCACGCACGAACTGAGAGATCATGACCTGAGCCCAAACCAAGAGTGTGGATGCTTAACCGACTGAACCACCCAGATGCCCCTGGATTTGCACACTTTTTGAAAATGCTGGGGGCGCCTGGGTGGCGCAGTCGGTTGAGCGTCCGACTTCAGCCGGGTCACGATCTCGCGGTCCGTGAGTTCGAGCCCCGCGTCGGGCTCTGGGCTGACGGCTCGGAGCCTGGAGCCTGTTTCCGATTCTGTGTCTCCCTCTCTCTCTGCCCCTCCCCCGTTCATGCTCTGTCTCTCTGTCCCAAGAATGAATAAACGTTGAAAAAATGAAGAAAAAAAAAAGAAAAGAAAGAAAAAGAAAATGCTGGAAAAAACAGGATCTTTGGGCCAAGGGACCAAGAGAGACGCCTTGGTTTTCGGCCTGGTGATGGGGCCGTGCCGACCTCAGATGGGGCTGACCAGCCCCACCCACATGGGGCCCCTCAGCAGAAGAGGGAGGTGAGGAGGGAGGGGGTAAAAACCCAAGACCCAGAGCCCCCAGCACAGACACCTCAGGGCAGACGCCCACCGAATGCCTGTTACCTGCGAGCCGTCCCTGACCTGTCCCTGACCTCCAGGCCACAGTCCCTGCAACTAAACTAGCCAATCGCTGCATGATTGCAGCCGCTTTGCCTCGGAGGCGCCCGGGTCCCTGAACCCGCCAACCCTCCCATTTAATCCTCTTTAAGACTGGAGGCAGTGGCAGGGCCAGTAATCAGGTTAGGGACAATATCCCACTGCTCAGGGCAATGGTGGGGGTGGGGTGCCAGAGACTAGGTCCCTGCCCTCTGTTCACCCGGACACGGCGGCTATCCTGCTCTGCCCGTGACCGTGACCGTGACCGAGAGGGGATCTGGGGCCGACAACTGGCTTCCTTCCGTACCTTCCTTGCAAAATAGTCCCGGACTGAGCGCCAAGTAGAGACACAAACACCTGACTCCAAAGACGAGATTGCAGGGAAACTGAGGCACCACAGCACCTCTCTGTTCTCCGGAGACCCAGAAAAGCAGAAGCAGCCCTTGGCCGGAGCAGCAGCCCCTGAGGGCCGTCACCCAGGAGGAAAGCCTTTTGTCCTTGGCGCCTGTGTGCCCCCCGGCCCCTCCCCACCTCCCTGTTCTGCAGGCCTGCTCTCCCTCACTGGTCACCTCCTTCCTGGACCGCCCGCCCAAAGCCTCCCGGTCACGTCTCAGAGCACTTGCCCCCCAGACTGACTTGTAATGAGCCTCCCCCTCCCCAGAGTGAAAGTCCTGGGGGGAGACTGGCCTGTGTGCCAGTCACGTCCCGACTCCCAGGATGGGAGTGAATGGGGGTGTGGGGGGCGTGTGGGGTCATGACGGGAGGAGGTCGAGGAGGTTGAGCGTGGCAGGAAACTCCCGCTGGGCAAGGTTGGAAACGCATCCTGAAGCCATTAGCACCTGTTCATGGACGCATGCCCAGCCGCCCACCCTGCCCCGCCCGGCCTGGCCCCTGGTCTGTCCTGTTGGCAAGCGGCTGCTGACCTCTGCACCCTGCGTGAAGAGTCGGCCCATCCACCGCCCGTCTGGAAGGGAAAGGCGGCCTGGAGAGGCGGGGAGCCCCCGAGCTGTGGCAGCAGGGACGTCAGCCCTTCCTCTGTGGGGCTTCTTCCCTGTTTGGGGGTCTGGGTGCCTACAGAGGCTCCCGAATTCTTCCCTACAGCTCCTGGGTGACAGTGCCCAGCACAGGAGGAAACGGAAAGTGAAGGAGCCTGGGGGGTCCTGAGACCCCCAGAGCAGGGCTTGTCCAGTCCACACCCTGGGCCTGGAGAAGCCACAGGCGTGCTCTGGACCGGGGACCTGGAATCCCCCTGTGCGGGGGCGGTGACCACCAGGTGGCAGTGTGGGACCGTCCCGCCCACCCCCCGCCTCTGAGCCCTGGCTCTGGGCTGGATGCCAAGGATTTGGAGGGTCCTCTGCGCTCCGTGTGGGCGCTTGGTTAGAGACCTCCCACACCAGACTTCGGGCAGCAGGGGCCTGAGGCAAGACAGGCTGACGTCCACGTATTCCTGGGCCTGGCACCCAGCACACCTGCTCACACCTGGGCGCACCTGGAACAACGGCCAGTCTCCACCTGCTTTTCTCTCTGTGCCGCAGACGCTTGTGCTGGGAACCGCCTCTCCATGGGGAGAGGCCAGCGTCCTGCTGAGGCCGCTCTGACAGCCAGCTGCCCCCGAGAGAGGAGCTTGACCCCAGCACGCAGCAGCTTCCCGCCCCCCGCCGGCCAGGCCCAAGTTCATGATACAAGTCAGCGTGCTCGTGGTTCTGCGCCACCAGC